ATCTTCTTTTTAATTTTTAATAGTTAAATTAGATAAACTATTCCGATGTGCAAGACACAATCTTGCGACATCTCTTTTATATTCCTCCTTTTTTTTTGAGTTATTAAAAGCATATTTCTTTCCATATTATTTTGTTGTTACCACTTAAACACACAACAATAAAAGGTAAGCACCATGTGAAATGTTAACAGAACTGTCCTCTTGATTATTCTCCTTCCTCGTTTTAGGAACAAAAAAGGCTGTTATAGAATTTTCCTTTATATTCCTCCTTTTTTTTTTTTTAAGTTATTAAAAGCATGTTTCTATCTATATCATTTTGTTGTTACCACTTAAACACACAACAATAAAAGGTAAGCACCATGTGAAATGTTAACAGAACTGCTGTAAATAACAAGAACCGCACTCAGTGAGAGCCTGCCTAAGACTGACTTCAACTCAGAACTATCCCCTCTGACTTCAATTTTTGAAACGCAGACAGACTTCTCCTTTTTACTTCATTTCCCTCTTCTTCTTCCTGTTGCTCTCTCTATAACGGCTTGCCGCTACTCTCACAAGAGCAAGCATAGATCCCGCAAAATCATACGATTTTGCCTATGCTTGCAAGAGCAAAAGGAAAAAAAGGAGTACCGCAAAATCATACGATTCTGCCTGTACTTGCAAAAGCAAGCAGAGGTACCGCAAAATCATACGATTCTGCCTGTACTTGCAAAAGCAAGCAAAGGTACCGCAAAACCATACGACTTTGCCTGTACTTGCAAGCAAGGAGATCAGAAAAGAACAAAATAAACACATATACCGCAAGATCATGCGATTTATTTGCGGTACCACAAAATCGAATGATTTTGTCTAACGGCATGCCGTTATTGCGCCGCTTGCGGTTGACACAGACCGACAGACACCCTACCCAAGGTTTGTTCGCGGCCGTTACACTATTTAAAACCCAATGTAACTCTTTAATATTTCTATACTTTGCCTTTTTTTGATACAGCATTGCTATTTCAGATACAGGATGTTAACTTTGTCCACTTTTTAAGAAAGTTGGTATGAATTGGCAACTCATATGACTCATATAGTTTTACGCGAACGTAAACAAAAGAATAAAAAGAAAAAAATGCATTCGCTTCAAATTTACACTTTATACAACAAGCCATCTTAGCAAACGGCAGCTGATAATTTTTGTGTTTTACTGATGTTATTAAAAAAAAAAAAAAAAAAAATTGCGAATATTTAAATAATTTAAAAGGAGGAAGGAGGGAAGGAAGAAACCAAAAAAAGGTTTAACAAAGTAACTACATATTTTAAAAAAATTTAAACAAAGAAAAGGAGAGAAGAAAGAAGAAAAAAGTGAGAGAAAAATGAAAAAGCAATCTATATATTATATTTTTTTATTTTTCTGTTCTGATTTTTTTTTTTGGTGTTCCCCTTGATAACAGGCAATACAACATCAGCCCGTCTCCCCATGTAGACTGGGTCTGATCTTATAACTACTGGTAGGGATTGTTTCAAAGATTTGTAATTGAACACCACTTGGAACACCAAGAGATCGAGGATTGGTGAGAAAAAAATTCTTTTACCTTCTAATGGAGAAGCTAACGCAAATGTTTTAATTACGCCTAGTAAACAGGCAATCGACAAGCCCTCTGATATGGGTGCCACAGCCGCCCCAAATCTCGAGATCAATTTGTACGATTGCCTTTCTAAGTGCAATTTCGTCGTTTTTGTCGAAACGTGCGCAAACGCAGAAGGAAATCGCATCAATATTAACTCCAATCTCTATTTTTATGATTACTTGAAGGATTTCAACATGTACGGCTTACAAGAATTAAAAATCGTCAGCAGGGGCAGAGTCAAACTGCTTTTCAGCTCTGCTGCCAATGCCAACAATTTTGTTACGAATAATGAATTTACTAAAAAGAATTTAAAGGCGTACATACCGAGATCGTTCACCGAGAGATTTGGTGTCATTCGAAACATCCCATGTATATGCAGTGTAGACGAGATAATTAAAAATGCCGTATCCGATATTCCGATTAAGTCCGCTGTCCGTTTTCAAAGAAGAAATCTCAACAACAAACATGAGTGGATTCCCACAACCAGCATCAAAATTGGCTTCAAAGGGAGAGCCCTCCCTAAGTCAATAAAATTTAATTATTGTTATCTGGCGGTTGAGTACTTTGTACCCACTTTAAAGCAGTGCTTTAAGTGCTGTAGATATCGTCACGTGTCAAAATTCTGCAAAGCTAAAGAGAGCAAGTGCCTTAACTGTGAGAAGTCTCCGAAGTGTGTGAACTGTGAGACGATGAAGTGCTTGTCCTGTGGTTCAGGTGAGCACAACACTTTTAATAAGAGTTGCCCTAACAGGGAACTTAAATCAAATATCAACAGGATCATGGCAATTAAAAATCTCTCGTATAAAGACGTAAAAGAGAATTTTTACGCAAATTATTTCGAATGTTTCGATGACATCACCTACGACGACAATTTCCCTCCACTGGGGAACACGTCCGCAATTTCGACCCAGGATGATAATCAAAACGCCGACTAAATTTTAACCAAAAATATATATAATGCTGCCGTCAAAAGGATATCGGTTCCTTCCAAATCTCCTCTCAGTTCACCCACCAAGCCTTCTCTCAATTCACTCTCAAAGCCGTCTGGAAGAAATCTTCGGCGTCCAGTAATTTCAAATAACTATATGCGTTCGTCAGAACTTGAAAGATTAATCTCTGCGATTGAAGAAAGCATCCGTCCGATGATCCCTCATAATTTTATTAAAGAATTTGAAGAAAAAATGTCTGCCTGTGCCAATTCTCGGGCAGTTCAAGCACCCAGCACTAAGAGGAAATCCGCCGGGGTCCCTTCTCAAATTTAAATATGATGTCCTTTTTACAATATAGTATCCAAAGTGTTCGACGTAACCTGTCGTTTTGGACACATAGAGCTATTGCGATTAAAGAGTTATGTGGTAACGGTAGCCCACATTCTTTCTGGAATTACATGAATGGTCATCGACATTCTAGTCAAAAATGAAGCGGTTGTGCTGGAAGGACCATGATAATAAAAGAGACTTGGATATGCTCAAAAGCTATATTCCAAGTATCAATCCGATTATAATTCCTTCAATTCCTTTTAGTAGTCTCAACAACACACCCTTTTCATTGCATGAGCTAGTGTAGGTTTTACATTCCAGAAAGAGAGCTACTGCTGCAGGTTGTGATGGAGTCCACATGCAGCATGCTCAGAGCACTATCTGGAGGAAGCCTCAGCATTCTTTTGCATGCAATTAACAACTGCTGGTCCATCAACTTTATACCCTCAGGTTTGCGATGCATCAAGATAGTTCCCATTCCTAACGCTGGTAAAGACTTAAATGATTTAAGCAGCTTCAGACCAATTTCACTAATATCTGTATTCATAAGGACTATCATCCTCATGGCTAAGGAGAGACTAAGTGATTTCTTGAAAACTGAGAAGATTATTCCAGCTTGTTCTTACGCCTATCAAAAACGCTACGCTAATCTACGAATATGTTCGTTAACGAACTGTCTTTTCTCATAGCCAGCTTAAAGAAAACAGGTACAATGGTCATTATGCTTTCCCTGGAAATCGGCAAAGCCTATGACTGTGTCAACTTGATTAAGCTTGGTAGAATTCTTTTAAACTTTTCGATTCCTCTTCAAATACGGCTGTGGATACTTAATTTTTTATCCAAGCGCATGTTGGTACTGAAAAAGTTGAAATATGTGGCCATATCCTACAAGGCTGGTGTTTAAGCCCCATTCTCTTTAATCTACACACAGCTTCTTTGCATGATCTTCAAGATGACAAAACTCATATTTTTCAATATGCAGATGATTTCCTAATTGTGTCTGCAGACTCGTCTTTTTCAGCTGCTGGCAATAATTTTCGATGAAAGCTAATTTTTTCTTCGATGCATGCGCTGCTAATCGTCTAAAAAGTCATTCAGAGATACCGACTAAGCTAAGTCAGCCACCCCCTAGTATAAGTAGTTTCATCCCTTAGTATAAGTATATTTCAGAATTCTGGTTTAATATTAGTGCTACATACATGAAATGCATGGATGTATGGGTGAACTAAATCGGTTTTAACAATGGGAGAAGTTTCTAGAGATTATATGCATGTATGTATGTTAAATTTTAAATTTAAAATTTAATTTCTGTATACTGCCAGTAGACTATGTCGCTCATAATTGTGACAGTTTCAGAAAATGCCCGGAGAATTGTGTTGAAATCCAATATTCTGTGTCTATTTTATTCCATCTATATTGAATATATTAACAATGCCCATCATGATAAAAATTTCCTATCCTTAAACGAGTCCGCTGTTCCAATTTGCTTAAAAAATACTATTGCCGATGTTAACAACATTTTCACCAAGAAGTGGCTTAGCCAGAAATTTACATATATAGCGATATAGGTTCAACCCACAATACTCCATATGAAAGCAAAGCTACTCGAAACTACCTCCATATTACAAGAATTGACACCTTTTAGAGAGCCTATGAAACATCAATTGTGCTTCTTCCTCTTCATTTCACGGCAAAGGTTTAGCACGTTGATGTAATGTGTCCATATATCAACGGCATATCCATTTTCTCTATTCTCAATATATGGTACTTTTTCCATAGCGTCGAAAAAGGAAACCTGCTGCATTTCAATCATTTCACTGTGCAAGTTCTTCAAGGTGAAGAAGAAAAATTTGGTAAAATTAATTAAAATATCTCGAGCAATTCTTTAGGGTAAAGGAAAAAAACTAGCTAACGGTCCTTTGCGAGAAATCAAGTATATTTCCTAATTGTCAAGTACCCTCCCAGAGATGCAGCTCGTCAAATTCAGAAAAATGTTATTTAGGATTGGAAGGACACCATCATCACAGCTTGATGTATTTCGAGCCCCTGGCGGACGCCATATTGACGACATCGGAAATAAAAACGCTCAATAGGCTTATAAGAAGTCGCACGTGCAACGGCGTCTGTTTAAACAAATTGGTCGAAATTTTCATTTTTGAATGCAGAAAATTTGATATCATTATAAAAAATACGGGTAGGTGTAAGGTGCATCCCAGGGTTTTCTAATGTCGTTTTTTACTATCATATAAAATGCTAACTTTTTTTGTAGAACGGCCGTTACATTGCTCGGCATATTGGCATAGTTTTCGACCTTGTCGTTATTTTTGTCTCATCCATATAACTTAGACATTCGGACATTGCAAATGAAAAGGCAAGGATTACAACTTTTAAAATGGCTGGTCAGAATATGGTCTGCAATAAAGCGTTAACAGCTGCTATGTGATTAGGACGCACATAACAATAGTGGCGCACGTGTTGGTAGAATTCCATTGACTTTGAACTTCAATTTAAATTTCAATGCACACATCAACTAAAAACTAAATAGTTTAAGCAATCTCAATCTCTATGCTCTAATCAATTAATTATCTTTAAAAGTGGAGCAAAACATTGTTTGTCACAGTATATAAAGGAATAATTTTTTTAATCCTAAAAATCCTAACAAGAAAAGGAATTGTACATCAGTGTAAACTTTCCTTTGTGATATTTTATGACATTCACATTTCTTGTAATTCTGTGCTAGGAGCAAGTACGATTAAGCCACACTGGGATTTGAATCCACAAAAACACCGACTTATCATATATTTTTTAGCGAGAAGCTTTTGTTACCATAAAAATTTGGCCATCAAATTCTTTAAATTTTCCATTATGAAATGGCCCAACGATTTATAGTAATTTGTCTCATGTAGGCCTACACCATTATAAACTTAACTTAAAATTGTAAAAATATTTCCAATAATAATAATAAATAAATATAAGCCCCATTTATACATAATATACATACACAATACATAAAAAATACATATAAATACATCACGATCGCTGTGCCTGTGTGTTGATATCTGGAAAAGAAAAATATTGTGATTACTAAAATTTATATATAAATATGGCCACAAACTTACCATTGGCCTATGTAAATATCGCATTCCGCAGAAGCGATAGTGGAGGCGTATGTTTGTTTTTTAATCTAAAATGAAATAAAATGAAATGAATAAATTATACATAATAACAAGTAAAGATAAACGCAACTTACCTTGACATATAGCAAATCGTTCATTCGTTATGATGAGGCGGTGGGCGTTGTACTTCAACTTTATTCGAATCTAAAATAAGAGAAAGTAAATAGCAATTCATAAAAATGCCTGTATAATATTATAATTTTCATCTACGCTTATCTGCGAAGTGCGTGTTTGGTAACTTTAACCTACCCGCAACCAATCATTCATTTGTTCAATTCTTGCTGTATTGAATTTTTCATTCATCGTTCACTCGCTCACTCATTCCTTCATTTATTTATTTATTCGCGCATTCATTATGTTAATTTAAAAAAGAAAAGCAGTTCTAATGAAAACACAAACATATATAAAAAATATTTCATACTTCAAATACTTACAAATTTTTGAATATTAATGCTAATAATGTATTAAAAATCTTTGAAAAAACAAGTATTGCAGATCTCATAAATAAATTATATTCCTACCCAGCTAAGCTAATGCCGCTACCCAACTTTGATTTGTTCACAAAATTGTTAAGGAAACACCAACGAGATTTGCAGAAAAGCTATTGCTTCACAATTTTTCGCTTCGTACAACTTCTTTCTGCACTTGTAAAATGGCCTTGATTTTTCACTAAAAGCCGTTAGCTGGTTTTTTCCTTTACAAGGTTTATAAAAAAAATACCATGTGTGGAAAATAGAGACAACGCAAAGTTGCTTTCATAAATTGCCTTCGATGAACGGGAAACTTTCCTCGCGAAGTCTGTTAAATATTTTATGAGTTTGATTGTACTTGTTCCACGCAAAACCGGTATGTACTCATTAAACGCTGGTTTTACCGTTTTCAATGAATTCTTTTGCCAAGCCCTAAAAGCCTTTGCAGAGAATGGCTCTAAAAAGCAAATAATCAAAGATTTTATTGCAATTAGCACAGGATATTTAGTTCAATGTCACGTTTTCTGATTTCACAATCACTCTTGCGCGTGCTGTCATTGGGATTTCTTTCTCTGTTTTGTTTTTGTTTTTGCGCACCCGACCTCAGTATTTTCATATTAAAGTAAACCTTACAAAGTATAATAGCTGTAGCAGAACCGTATATCCAGCTGCTACGATGTTTTCCCAGCACTTCTTCCCATTTCATAGATATGCTCACGCCATTTCTCTTACTTCTCCCCATTTAGCAGATGAGAGAGATTTTTTATTCACCATTTGCTTTATGTATTTACTCATTACTTAGAAACAACTCTGTGCTTGAATGTCTCTTCCGACTCCAAAGATTCAATATTTTCGTATTGCATTACAAATGGAAATATTGCACTTTTATCTTTCTTTTGGAGTAAACGAATCCGTTAAAAGTTCTTCTCTCGCAATTTTTTTGTATGTAATCAGAAAATGCGTCGGCTTTTAAGGAATGGAGTCACGCTTTACTTTCTAGTACGTCGTATAATCTACAAAGCGGCCATAAAACTTGCTCGCAAAGATAAACTTAAAAGCTCCATTTCCGAAAAAGAAACCTTCGATACCCTTAGTAACAAAGTACTTTTCATACCGAAATCCACATATCTATACATTATACAGCAGTTTCTCTCTGAAACAATGTTACTGTTATTTATCATTCTCTTATAAATAATGCATAATACATAAATCGAAAATATGAATGAAAATGAATAATACACTTTTTAGCTAGAAAAAAATATAATTTTTTTCCGAACTTTGATTTTCTTTCCTTTCACATATTCATAAAAATGAGATTGGGGAGTGTTTTTTAATTTATTTAAAAGTTGAATCGAATCAATTGAGATTGGTGTAGGTTTTAAGGTGTTTTTTTTACGCTTCCTAATTATTATTATTATTATTATAATTTTATAGTTTATATCGGCTTCCTGGCACGTCAGGTAATGAAGTAGAATTC